CTTGCTCACAAACTTGGACAAAGGAACCCCATGTAAAAAGCTTCAGGAGACTAATAATGTGGGTGGAAAATTAAGGCACCTCATAAAAGGTTTTTAGTAACAAGGGAACAGATCACATCAACTTGGAAAGGTTAAAGAAAGCAATTTATAGACACTAATTAGGGCCTCTTTTTGAAGTGCCTTTGCAAATGACAAGGTTGGGTTTATTCCAGAAAGGTGCAGAGGGAGCGCAGTAGGAGCTGCCTGGGGATGGCTCTTAAAAGGGTCTACCACGCTCGTCATTAACACACATTTACAGGAGATTTAAGGGTTGGCAGGGAGGGAAACGTGGGGGATGTATTTACACAAATAAGCTGTGCAATGCTTATACCCTCCCCGGGGAAATCTTCTCCACACTGGTGCAGGACCCAGCGAGCCCCAAGCTTGCAGCCGCTGCTCTACTAGCGGGAACCGTTTTGCTGGATGCCAAGTCCAAGGTCATCAGACCGGAGTTTTCATTCACTTTCTGGCTCACCAGCTGTAAGGATCTGCATGGTCAAAGTTCTGCAGAAACACTGTTTTATGCAACACTCTGGCTCTGACAAAGTTTTGCTTGCAGGATGAAGTGCCAGAAGGTGGGAGCTGAAGGACTTTGCAGCGACGTTTCCCGGAGCCATGACCAAGGGGGGAGCAGGTGCCTGAGGGGAGGCAACTCTCATCTGAGAGCAGGAGAAACCAGGGCACCTCCAGTGCTGCTGGAAGGTGAATTGGTCCTTCGGGGGCTTTATTTCTCCATTGGTTCGCTGAAGCGAACACAGCTCACCCCCCAGCTAACACGAACACCTCCCGCTTCTGTCATTCAAGTAGGAGCTTGCCCTGCAAACAGGCCGGGGGTGCAAAGGGACTTCGAGGCAGCAAATGCCACACGCCTGTACAGGCAGCCACTTCACCCACCTCTGGGATGTCTATTTTTAATTTACAGAACACCGGCTCCTCTCCCCACACTCTGGGGCTCCTTACATAGGAACTCAGCGATGTAGAAAGACCTGGACACGACAGCCCTGCAGCAGACGGGGCTGCTTTCGGGGATGAGGTGCTGCCCTGGGAATGGCAGGACCAGCCTCCTCCCCATGGTTTCAGTCCATCGCCTTGCAGGACAGCCTTGAAGGGCCACAGCCTTCAGCAGCCCTTATAATTTCTTTGTGATTAGTAAGGTAGCTTATAAAGCATTGTTTTATTGCATTATAAAGCAACTCTTCTTCGCAGTCATTAGAACAGCCCTGAGGTTCTACACAACCCTGCCATTCCCTCTAAGCTCCGTATGGACTGAGCGTCCTCCCCTTTGCACCATCTCCCTGCAACCAGCTCAGATCGTCCCTAGAGCTGGATGAGGACATATTTCCACTTAAAATGGTGATTGTGCGTGATGCCCCTCCACAGATACTCCTTCCCAGCTCCTCCACAGGGGAGAGCAGAGCAGGCCCAGTGTGGCAACTGGGAGCGCTCTGCTTTCACCTCGGAGCTCACCCATGAACTGTCCGTAGATATTTCAGCTTTCCAAACTGAAGGTCCTGGCCAGCACACTGCAGGCCAGGGGGACCCGCTGCCCTCGGTCTGGGGTCACTGCCCATCACCTACTTCTCCCCAGCATGACTGTCTGCTCACATCTGCCACCACCGTGTTCGCGGTGTGCTCCCTACCCTGGTTCTGTCAACAGAGATCCAAAGGGGCTTTTAATAGCAGCTTGTTTGTTAAACCTGCGATATTTTGACAGATCTGTTGCAGAAGATGTGCGTAACAAGCAGGCAGGCGCCGTCACCCCTTCGCAGCTCCTGCCCACGCCGGGGCTGATGCTCCCTGGGGTCCTTGCCTTCAGACCTGCTTTGCCACCACGCCGAGATACAGCAATGCTGCAACACGCACAGTCACCCATCAGCAGCCGTGGAGGAACCTGGGTTTCTTACAGGGGAAAGACGTCCTCTTCTCTGAGGCTGCTGCATTTGCAGAGCCAGAGGTCACAGGCTAAGTGGGAAGGCGGGGTGGCTCAGCCCCGTGGCCGTGCCATCGGTGGCAGAAGGAAACAGGGATGAGGGAAGGTGCTGCAGATACACATGGGCACACAGGAGCTGAGCGAAGCAAGCACTGGTCTTTCAATTACACCTGGGCAAGGCACAGGCAAAAGACAGCGAAGTCAGCACATCCAGGTCCTCAGGGACACAGAGCTGCTCCCCAAAGAGCAGGGCAGGGTTTTGCACCCACCGACTCCATCCTACAGGGTTCAACCCACCGCCTCCATCAGGAGGTTACGCCACAGCACAAGACACCTTCCAGCAAAAAGCCAACTTGCTATTCAACTCTGCTTTCTTTCTTTCCCCCGATTTCATCACACACTGCCTACTACCATCCCCTCTCCCACTTCAGGAGCGATAACCTTAAAAATAAATACAAAAGTACAGAAAAGTAACAAAGAATGGAAATGGCACACCCGCCCAGAGGTAGCTCAGAGGTGACGTGTGCCAGCCGCACCCCCAGCTCTCTAACCTTCCTCACGCTAACTTCTCAACTTCTTAATCATTTATATTTCACCTCCCCCTCCACTTCCCACATGGAAACAAAAGATCACTCATACACCAAAATAATCACCCAGGACCTCCAAAAGCCCACGAATTCCCTCACTTTGGCCTAGGGCACTTGATAAGGAGTTTTCCCAGTTTGGCATCTGGGTTTGACTCTGTCCCGTCCTCCCCTTTATACTGGTGCCACAGCACAGAGGGGGCAGACCAGGGACAGAACCTGCCCCCCCACTATTTTTAGGACTTGAAGTAACCGATCACAAAGCAAATCAAATTTAAAAACGTGAGGCATCTGAAAAATCCAGCTACACAGGGAAGTGCCTGTGGCACCGCGGATACTGCCCCTGCCCTCTCTGGTGGGTGGAGAGGTTGATTTTCCACCGAGCAGGGAAGTGCCTGTATCACATTTGATGTAACCAGCATCGCATCGGAAAGAGCGACCGATGGTTAAAGCCCACTACCTGGGCTCGCCTATGGAATGAGGTCAACACAATTACAGTACCAAAAGAGACCTGCTGCAATGGATTTTCCCTTACAGGAGGAAAAGGGTAAAGCTGTGAGCTGAAAGCTCAACTCCTGTACCCCCAACAGCAAAGTATCCATGTCCACATGTGGTGCAAGACTGTTGTCCACAGGACCCGTGCCACCGGTACGTTAATGCCGTTGCCTGAACACACACCAGCCCTGCCTGCTCACTGCCATCAGGGTGCACAACTACCCTCCACCAGTGCCATGCTTGCAAACACCTCCACCTTTTGTGCATCTCTCAAAAAAAAAGGAAAATATTTGCAAGGCAGACAGTGAAGGAGTTTCCCCTCCTTCCAAACTGCCCAGGCCCAAAGCCAGAAAGTGCAGAAAGCAAAACTAAAAGGTTGGGCCTCTCACAGACCCATCAGCTCCATCGCACCCTCTAGCCCAAGCACTGAGCAGAGGCACCGTCACCACACAAAGAGGAGGACGATGAAACACTCGTTATCCACCCCAAAACTACGACCTGCCACTTACAGGTGGGCAGCTGGGTACAAAACCCAAAGCCATACTCTGCCAAGCATCTGCCAGCACAGGCAGAGGCAATACAAGTCATAAATCTGTCATCTCAGGCAGTGTCAATAGACACGATTTCACAGTAGGGCTCTGGCTGGCTTCACTGCTGGGGCTCTCCTAGAAGACTACAATGGCTCAGAGCAAGAAACACTGGTTCACTGGAGCACAGAGCTGGAAGTAACTGTTAAACCTTTAAAGCAAGAAGAAACAAATAAAAGCCTGCAGTTTCCAGGGCATTATCACAGGTCTGCTCTCCCAGAGAGAAGCTACAAATGCACGCAAAACCACAGACACACAGCAAGGCTTGGCAAACGCTTTTAACACACTGCCCAGGCAGGCATCACTGTCCACCACCAAAGTGCTCCGTTTCCAAACTGGTGCAGAACACCCACATGAGGACAAGTTAGAGTGCACAAAAGGCACCTTCTCAGAAACAGGGACGTGACTTTGGGGAGATTCCTCACAAGGCAAAGACAAGGTCCTTGCCTTCCACCCACATACCAGGCAAGTATATACTGCTTGTTGCAAAAGATGCTGGAAACTAGAGCAACATTCACTAGCAGAGATGCAACTCAACTGGCCAGGTTTCCTAAGCATCTCCCTTGTCTCTTCCATGCCAAGGGATCAGGAAGATCGCACCGATTTTGCCACCTGGCAGAGCGGCAACCCCAAATGCTGCTCCAGGTCTCCTGGGAAACATTTTTACTTCTCTGCAGAGAAGTAAACTCTGGCTCCCCAGAGCTTACAGGCTTTCCCCATGCTATGCTGAGGCTAATGGGGATTGACTTTTAGACATATTTTTTTTCGCCCCTTCAGATTTTGAAGCAAAAGCAAAGCACTTTGATCCACTTTGAAATGGTGCAATTACACCAATTTCTGAACAATTTGCAGTTCTCTTCTATAGGAAGCATTAAGCAAAGGCATGCTTTTCAGTATTTTGAATAGGGAAAAAATTCATACATCCATGTAGCTCTCAATCCATCCCCCCAAGCAGGGAAGCCGAAGAGATTTACACTGACATGTAAATCCCTGCAACGGACTTCCATAAAGCCACTAGAAGAGGCACATCCAGAAGGCAAAGAAGTGTTTCACACCTTCTGTAAGTAGAAAGCGTAAAAAGGAAAGAGAGAAAGAGAAAAGACCTTTCCCCAAATCTCGGTCTTAACTCCTGCCCTATCCTGGCATTCATGCGCCCACTCCTGATGTCAGTCTAGGTAACACTGGTGTCACACAGTGCTTTGAGGACCCCATAGCTATATCAGAGATGGCAACACTCCAGAGACCAACACCACATCAAGGGTAGTCCAGTCCATGGATGTCAACACAGATGCCTTTGCACACCACAGCATTACAGGGACCTCACATGTAGCCAGACAAAGAAATCACCAGATACAAGTGCCGTACCTTCCTCCAAGTCGTTCCTCAGAGAAGCCTCCAGCAGAGCAACGCTGGCTTCAAAAGACACTTTCTTTCGGTTAACAGCATTTCTCTTCTTTTCATGCTTCCGCTTCTTGTGCTGCATCTCCTTCTCATACTGCGCCCATTTCTTCAGCTGCTGAGCCCTCCGCTTCTGGGCTGCCCGCAGCCTCTCCAGCGTGGGCACCTTATCCAGCAGCTGCAGCTCTGTCAGGAGGTCCACATGGGCATCCATCGCTTCTGCCGAGAGAGAGGGGATGAAGGATGCCCCAGCAGGAAACGATGTCCCACTGCAGGTCCTCTGGATCGCGGCCGCCTGCTGCTATACCAGCATCTTGAGGCCGAGCTGGGAAGGGCCCATTGCAGTGTCTGATGAGAACACAGTGGAAACCTGAAATGAGGAGGAAAGTGTGAGAGATCAAGTCTCATCATCCCATGCAGACAAGCAACTAAGACCAGCCTGTTGGAAAACGCAATGGGCAACACCTACCATCTCAAAAGGCAGCTCGCTTAATTGCACTTTAATTGCTTGGTTGTTCTCACCAGGCTTTGTGATTCCATCCTTCACCCACTCCAAACACCGAAGCAAAACCATCTTGATTAAGCAGTAGTTTAACCGTGCAATTCATTCACATCTATAGTTCAAGGTAGCCCTCTCTTATGAGCAGAAGGAAGTCTTAATGAGCAAAGATCTTCCATAGTATTTGATACCATTCCTCAGACAACTCCAGAGACATTCAAGTACTGAGACACGTCCTTCCTTCCAGCTGGCCCCTTCCAGTGTAACCTTCCCCCCTCGTTACAGGTATCCCCAACACCGCAGCCAAGACTGCGCTGCACTGATGCACACCAACAGCCACCTCCCTGAAGCATTTTGGTCTGAGCAGCAAAACACAGGGCAGAGGGGACCAAGACTGCAGTGGCAGAGCCCAGGGCAGCCACAGACACAACATGAGACCGTCCCAGCACAAATAACCCAGAGGCCAGAGGCTAGAGATGCATGGGGCTACCCATCCAGCACCCCAAGGCCAAGCAGGTTTTCCCAGAGGGGCTTTACCCACCAGGAGCATCATCTGCACTCTTCTACTTCATCCATCAGCCCCTTCTCACCCCAGCCCTAGCTGAGGGCAGATGGATAGGATGTGGCTCCCAGGAAGGAGCCTTAAACCACTTAAACCACTTCAGCTACTTAAAAACATGGGGGTTTGTGTTAATTTCTCTCTTCATTCAGGTTTTTTCTTTACCACAGGCTAGCTCATTCTGGTTTTGCTGTACAGGCTCCACAAGCCCAGCAACAAGAGCAGTTAAATCACAGCCCCAGACTCCTGGTGTGACCATGACATCAGAGAGCTCTAAGCAGTGCTACCCAAAGAATGATCAACCAGGGGACCCATGGGCAGCCACCCAGTCATCTGCTGCACAGAAGGAGTAAACACGTCCCAGATTTAAGAAGCAGTCCAACAGAGAAAGGTGCATTTGAAATAAAGCCAATGTTATGAGCAAATTGAATGAGTCGTTTCCAAACAGACCCATGCAAAGCACATCAAATGGCAAGGTAAGTGTGCCAAATCAAGGTAAGCTACAAATAACCACATACAAGACGAGAGTTCTTATGGTTCAGCCAGCTTGGGGCGGGGGGGGGCGGGGAAAGTTGATGGGGAAGGGAGACTGTGGAGAGCTTAAGTATTTACAAGCACCTGAGAAAGCCCCAACAGGGCAGCTGAAGCCATTCCTTGCTCAACTCTCCTGCTCCGAAAGAAAGGAAGCAACAGTCTCATATACAATGGATGCAAAGCATCTATGGGAAAAATAGCAGCAGAAGAGAGGTAGCTAAGACCCAGGTGAGATACCAAACCTTACCCCATCCAGCCAAGCCACAAAAAGCCATTGTTCATCCCTCTTCAGAGGGCAAAGCAGCAGCCCAATCATGGAGGCGTTACTCTGAGGAGCTGCAGGGAAACGTTCATGCCATGCAGCACATCCATCACATCCCAGTGAATTTTGCAAGGTTGAGACATCCACTCCTTCCAGACATTGCTACAGACCTTCCACAGGGATTTGACCTTACCTATAAATATCTCAGCAGACTGACAGCAAGGCACGCCATTTCCTCCACAAGATAATTGGTTTGAGAACTGAAAACAAACAAACTCAGCCAGAGCACACAGGCAGGTCCTGGGCAGTCGCTTTATCCCGTAAATGGCCAACAGAAGGCCAAGGACAGCTTCAGCAGCACCTGCAACCCTTATTTTGAGGGTTTCAGGATAGACCTGAATAAAAAAACCCAACCCTGTTCCATCCCATAAGAACTTAAAATTGCAAAAAAACCGCTTCAGTTCCACATAGGGACAAACCCGAATCCTTGCAAAGTTTTTCGTAAGAGGGATGCTACCTAGAAATTCAAACACTTGCCTGAGATGCAAAATATCAACTCAAGACTTCAGCATGCCACTGGAAAGCAAGGGAAGCATGCCACAGCTCCTCCATGGCATGAGAGCCCCACACAGCTCTCCCTGACCCCTGCCCACAGCCCCCATGAGCTGGGACTCACCACAGTACCCAGAAACCCTGCTGACAAGCACAGCGTAAATGCAGCCCAATTTCCAAAAAGCTTTTATTTGGGGGCAGATGCATTTTCCAAGCACAGGCACTTGGCTGGAAAGCTCTTTACCACCTCTCGTGAACTTGGCTCTGCACAGCACGGCTCCTGCCCCTTGCAAGCATTCCTGGGAAAGTATCTTTTTTGGCAATCTCCACTGCAGTAACACAGGCTGCAGATCTGAAGCCCCGTTTACAATACCTCGAAGGAGGGGAGATAAGGGCAGGAAATGCCTCTTGGCATACCACGTGTGGCACTCCCACCCTGCTCCTTTTCCAGGCCACTTCTGCTATTGTTTGCTGAAAGATGAACAAATATTTCCAAAAACACACCTGAAGTAGAAACGAGGACCTAATTCTGCAGGTTTATTAAAGCAAAGAAAGCTTATTTCAGAGTTTCCCCGTTTTTCCCCCAAAAGCAGGAAGCTTTCTTGGTGGTATTAGGACTGTACCTTGGAAAGAGCAACATGACATTGATTTATAAGGAGAGAAGCATGGCTTGCTCTACTTGCTTGTGTTTCAGCTTTCCTGCATGCACCTCATCCTCCAGCAGCTCCCTCTGCTCTCACAACAGAACAAAAGGGAGATTCGAGTGGCCTACAGAAGGGAATGAAATGGAGACGGGAGATCCACAAACACCAGGAGACATCTTCTGGAAGTACCAGACACCAGTGTCTCCTCAAACCAACCAGCAAATGAACCTCTAAAGGAGCAGAGAGGTCACCATGAGAGGTCTTCCTGAAGGGGACACAGCTCAACTTCTCCCAGACTTAGGCACAAGTCCCCTAGCATCCTCCACGGACCCCAGAGCCTCAGAAAGACTTTGGCTCCATCACTCCAGCTGCCTCTTTTCCAGTGACCTAGTTTCTTCCTTGTACCAAAAAAATGTCACATTGACTTCTCATTGCACAAACTGGTCGGTCTAACTATAGCACAGTTTCAGGCCCCAGCATTTGTTTACCTGCAAAGCGACACAGAAGCTGGTTGTGTGGGTGTCTGTGGTTTGCAAGGCATCGCATTTTGGCTTCTGTTTTATTTAAAGAAGAAAAAAAAAGTGCCGTTCCTCGTGTTTGACCGAGCTGTGTTTCCGTGAGCTCAGCAGATCTGCCCGTCGCTGTGCTGAGCACATCCTGCCAGACACACGCGGCCCCTGGCCCTGCAGGGACAACGGTGACTATTTCAGGAGCCAAAAGGAAGGCGAGATGCTCACTATCGTATTGCGCTCATGCCATCACTTTCCTCTCGGCACTGCGGCAGAGAAAGACCCGCTCCAACCGTGTCAAAGATCAGTCTCTACAAAGGGCATGCAAGTATTGGCAAACACAATCTTTTTTTTAAAAAAAGTTTGCATTTCCTGTACATTTTGTCTCACGTTAGTACAAGATTCATCTCACTAAGCCCAAAAGGACTTTCAGGGCACTGGTTATTCACTTGCAACACGAGAAGAGATGGCGATTCTGTGAAGCGAGTTTACTGAGTCAGTGGTTGCAACAAGCTGGCCACCCCATACCACCAACCCTGCCTGGAGGGGTCCTTCGTCTCCTACGCACACACTTCTTCCCATTTTACATTTAGAGGTTGGCACTTGCATCCCGCAATGGAGAAAAACAAGTATGCTTATTCTCCTGTTCCAGCACATACTCAGAGCTGCCCCCCTCGACCTTCCTACAAAGTATTCAGCTTGCAGACACTTTGCCATTATATTGCTGAGGTTGGAGCTGGATCCATTAAAAGAGCCATGCTGCTGAGTGATGCTGGGAAGCCTTCTTGTCTCCCCACCAGACGATGAAGCCAGAGGTAAGACCTGCAAATCCTCTGTCACATCTCCCCAAGGCACTACTTAAAGCACAGCATGATACTGAAGCAGAATGCAAACACTTACAAGAGTCCTTCACTTAAGTGTCATCAAATGATTTCAGTTTTATCCCACTTAAAAAAAATAAACACAAACCATGGAAGAGCAACCCTTGAATGGGACACCTTGAAATGAAATAGTTCAGCAACTAGAGAATCCTTCTAAGTTGTGCATCTTTGAAGCAAAGATAAAATTCAAGACCCAGGTATGTGAGCAGCCACTTCTGAAATCAAGATCATTCGCATTTGCTGTATCATTTGTGGGGAGGCACCTGCAGGATTGGGCCCAGACGATTAAGTGAAGCGTCTGCATTTGCAGCATAAAGTGAAGTCAGTGGCATGAAAAGCAACAGAAATAGCCCTCTCCTCCCCACCCCAAGCTAATCTTCTCTCAGCTGGAATTGGAAACCAAGCACGAAAGCCTATAGGAGGGATCTGAGCACATAAGTAGCCTGCAGAAGACATGGCTGCCCGATTTATTTATGTCATTAAGAGTCAACTCCTGCACCATGGCAACGTGAGAAATTGCCAAATTGACCCCTCCTGCTTCCTACGAGGGCCAAGGCCAATCTATGCCATCATCCTGCCCCATGAAATGCTAGATGACCAGCCCATCACAGCCCTTTTGCTGAACCCATCCTCTGGCAATGAGCACCAATGAAGAATTCACAGGCTTCTCTTTCAGGCATCACTTTCAGGATTGCCACTGCTTGATGATCCAAAGCGGCTGAAGATGCATGTTCTGTATTGCTGTTTCTGCTGTTGGCCAGGATCTCCCCAAAGTCTCAGAGGAAGCAGCAGAGCAGCTCTTCATAGCTTGCTCCCCGATGAGGGAAAGAGCTCATTGGCAGCCCAGCAGCCGTAACACTCTCTGGAGACAGCCAGAAAGCTTCTGAGAGAAGGAGGTGAGAGACTTGAGGGACAGGCAGGAGCAGTAGG